TGTTTGCCACTAAAAACATTTTCAAAGAAAAAAATGACAAAATGAAAGTGCTTTTTACTTTTTATGATAATTCAGAAATTAGGATGGAGAACTTTTAAAAATCCCTGAAGATCAAAGAGGCTATCTCTGCCAGTCACAAGTGTGGTTGGTGACATTCTGGGTCTGACTGGAGTCCCAATGGAACTGTTTCTCTAACTTCACAAGCCCTGCAGAAGTAGTACATGGTCAGAACTATGCCTCGGTTTATTTATCATTTTGAAATAAAATCAAAATTTCAACCTGTAATCTTATCCACATTATTTTCTAGTGAAAGAGCCCTCAATTTCATAAGGAAAAGAGATGAAGGAGTAAGGACAGTGCAGATGTGCTCCTCTAACAGAGTGTACACAGAGTTCCCTTTGACTTGTGCCCTTGCGACCACAGGTGTTTGTTGACACCTGCTTCATGCCAGGCTCTGGGAACGCACAAGTGAAGGGCACAGAGTGCAGGGCAGGAATACATCATCCAAGTCGACTGGCCTTACACTTCTTGTCACGCTTCCTTTGAAAAGCCTCTTGATGCTGTTCTATTATCTTCTGGGAGAAGTCTAACCAGGCTAATTTTTGTTCCCTTATAGGTTTTGTTTTTCTGCCTGGGTGCTTCTATTTTTTTTTTTTTAATTTATCCCTATAATTAAGAAAGAAAATTACCTCAGTCTAGAAACCTGTCTCTCCAGTGACTTTTGTCTGAAATGAAAGTAAATCCAGTGTATCTCCCTGTGTGTTTTTTGTTTGTTTTTTCATTTTTTCGCTTTAAGAGAGTATCTTATGTTCTTAATTTTTTTTCTCAGAAACACTTTCCTACCTCTGTCGTCTCCCCTTTTCTTCATGCTAGGAAAACTCCAAGTTTACTCTCTACATGACTGGCTTGACTTTTAGTGTTATTTTTCTGCTTTGTGTTTCTAATGTGAGTTTTGTCATTGCAGTTCTAATTTTCTTGAATTTACCTCACCCACCTTCCTTTTCCTCATTCCTAAACCAACTAATTTTTTCATTTTTTGTAGAGACAAGTCTTACTAAATTGCCTGGGCTGGTCTCGAACTGCTGGCTTCAAGCAGTCCTCCCACTTCTGCCTCCCAAAGTGCTGGGATTACAGGTGGGAGCCACCACACTCAGCCACCCTTAATTCTTTACTTGGATGTTGCTCATGTTCCCATCTCAGTGCCTCAGCTAGGAGCCTGGTGCACTGCTCCATGCCGAGTCCATTTCCCTAGCTATCTTTTTAATAAGAGAAAATTATCAAATTTATTTCAATGTATATATATGGGAACCCCCAGAAAATGAGTTAAGGATTCCTCCCTAGCTATCTTTCTAATGCAGCTGGTCTGTTTCCACAGGCTTCACAAGTACCCCATTACCAAGGTTCTCCTTGTCACCTTCTCTCAGGAGCAAACAAATATATGAAATCCATTTTTTATAGCAGTGGTGCAATGGTTTTCAAAACTCTTCCTCAGTGTGTGCAGTATCAGCATGCAGGTTCTAAAAAATATTCTTAGATAACTTCCAATTTATTTTTCACCTTGATATATATTTAGAATGGCTTCTATTTTTTAAAAAAAGAAATATTTCCTGGAAAAGATCCTGGATAGATAGGTCAGTAGGGCTCACAGTGTTATAAATCCAAAATTTTAAGTGCTTAAAACAGAATTTACCAAACCCTCATGAAACTGTAAAGATGTGCTCAATACTTTTTTCTTTGGAAGCAGGTGTGTTTGGACAGCAGCAGTCAAGAACTTCACACACTTTTCACTGAGTGGAATTCTAGACTTGGGCAAGTCTGGTCTAGCTGGTTTTCCAGCTTAAGCTCTGGCAGTTTGGTTACCATTCCTATGAAATGGAAATCATTCCTGCACCGCCACAGAGTTGTGAGGGTCAAGTGAGGTCTATCTAGGAAAGCACTTTTTAAAATGTCTAGAACTGTGAAAGTAATCCCTGAAGTATAGTGTTGAACATTTCCTTATTGTAAGTTTTGTCACATATTAGTGGAAATGTAAAGTGGTTACAGTTTGTAACTCCTTGGACACTTCCCACACCCACCTCATTTTGACACCACAGGACAGCTGCTGCTCTGAGATAAAGGAGCTCACATACTGTTAATACTTATATAATCATGAAAATTTTCCAGTGTACCAACTTACCACAGGGGCCTGGCCAGTGTCGAATGACATTAGGTATGCCTAATCCACTGACAAGTAGATTATGTGACATGATGCTTACGTGCAAAACAGCCAAGTTAAAAACTGAATAGTGGGTATTAAATAGACAGAAAAAGGATGTTATACACCAGACCCAGAATCAAAAAATTTATGACTAGATTTTTTAAATGATGTCTAATGAACTCTACTAAAAGACTTGAGTTTAAGCATCAAATGTAAAATAGCCAGACCAGTGTTTTTGCTCTACTCAGTTCACAGTTGAGACCAGTATGGAATAATGTCCTCAGGCTTCCTTTGGAAACTATAAAGTGCTACACAGCTATGTAACATTTCAATAACTGGCAAAAAAAAAAGATTCATGGAATTTTTTTTTCTAATTATGTTTAGAGCAGTTTTAGGTTCACAGCAAAATTGAGCACAAGTATGGAGAGCTCCATATATTCCCCACTCCACACACAGGCCCACCTCCCCCACGATCATTCCTCACTGAAATGGATACATCATTATCACACAAATCCCATAGTTTACCTTACAGTTTACTCTTGGTGTTGTACATTGTATGGGTTTTGACAAATGCATAATGACATGTATCCACCAGTATAGTATCATACGGGAGCAGTTTCAGAGTACATGGCATCTTTAAATATCAATTAACAATTAGCAATTGTGTGCCATGTGCCAGCCCACTGTTCTAAGGGCTTTTCCTATATTAACTCATTTAATCTTCACAATATCTGCAGCAGGCAGGGAATGAGAAATAAAATGCTTTATCCCAGATTATCCCGCTAATCAAAGATGTAGCCAAGGAACAAACCCATCACACTACTGCCTATTCCTTTATTTTTCTATATTTTTATTTTTTTTCTGAGACAGGGTCTCACCCTGTTGCTCGGGCTACAGTGTGGTGGCATCATCGTAACTCACTGCAACCTCAAACTCCTGGGCTTAAGGGATTCTGTTTCAGCCACTCGAGTAGCTAGGACTATGGGACTACTCACCACCATGCTCAGCTAATTTTTCTTTATTTTCTTTCCTTCCTTCCTCCTTTCTTTCTTCTTTTTTTTTTTTTTTTTTTTTTTTTTTTTTTTTTTTTTTTGTAGAGATGACTCTTGATCTTGCTCAGGCTGGTCTTGAACTCCTGGCCCCAAGCAATGCTTGGCCTCCCAAGGTGCTAGGATTACAGGCATGAGGCACTGTGCCCCCAGTGCCAAGCACCCATAGTCTTTTGTATGCTGCTGAGGCTTAGGAAAAAACATTCTTGCAATTAAATTTCTGTTGCATGAAGACAGAACTACTTGGTGTGGTTTTGAACTATCCTTTTGGACCCCATAGGCTCTAGGGATCAAAGATAGATTGGGCTCAAAAAAAATGCTACCCTGATTAGTTTTTTCCACATGAAAACACTGCGAAAGAATCTATCCTCCCCAGCAGTGCTCCACAGAACCCCTCCTGCCTCCTTCCCTTCTCTAGTACTTCGTGAGAAATGCTACCTGTCGTGATGTCCTCCTTTTTTCATCTGCTAACCCTGCTGCACTTCTGTCCTACTAGGATCTCTCATTCTTCCCTGGCCCCTCTTTACCTGTCTTCCTGTGTATGCGCAGGTGCAGTGCCTGGTGCTTAGGAATACTGCCAGCTCAAAAGCAGAATTAAGCCTCTTGAGGCGACAGGACATGGTCTGACAACAGGTGTTCAGTTAAGTTTATTAACTGGTCCACATTACTCGCCATCAAATGGTGTACTCGCCATCAAATTGGCACTAACTGATAAACACTATGGTGCTCACACGGCAGTAATATTCTCCAGGGATTAGGGGGTTGGAGGGTAAACTCAACTAATGGACGCAGTGAGCATTGTGGGGGGAAAGGCACATCTCAAATCATAGTTTGGGTGTGGCAAAGCCATAACATGTATCCAAAATGTTTGTACCCCCATAATATCCTGAAATAAATATTTTTTTAAAAAAGGGCAGACAACTGCACTGCAACGTTTCCTGTAAGGACCTCAAAGAATGCATATGAACAACTATGCATTAAAAAGTTCACTTTTTAAAGGACCTCATTGATGTCCTAAAGTATGCTAGGTATGTATTGTCACTTGGGTTTCTGAAGTAGTTTGGATGAAATAAACTTGTGTTTGGTCACAGGAAAAAAAAAAAACGTTTATTAACTGGTACTCGCTATAAATGTGACTGTTTACAGTGCTGCCCAGTCATCTCTTAGAGTAGGATCGGGTTCCAAATTCAGCACCAGAACGAAAACTGCATTACTCACCGCCCCTCGGCACCGCCAGCAGTGTGGAGGGGGCGGGGAGTGGAGGTTTGTTTATTCTACAACTCGTTGGTATCCCATGCTCCTAAGAACCGCCTAGCCAGACCAAAAGATTACGATGGGCATGGGAACTATTCTGCCTTCAAGAACGTAAGCCCCGTGCTGTCTTGACTTATGCGTCCTTAAGCCGCAGCAGCCAGGTAACAGCATTCATTTCAGTGAGCATTAAAGGAGTGGGTGTCATCGCACCTTGCCCCGGGGGCAGGTGGAGAAGCGCCGACGCGCCTCCGGAGTCGGCCAGGCTCAGGTTGCGGCCCGCCCTCCAGCCCGCTCGCCCGCCACGCGCCTGCCCACTCGGTCCCGAGCGGTGACCACACTCCTCCAGGCTCGCACGCCCGGGCGTCGCCAGCCCACGCTCGCGACTGCGCGCAGCCCCTGGCAGCCGGGCGGCGCCGAGCGGCGAGACCCCGCCCCCCAGCCCGTCACTCACGCGGCCTCCCAATGGTGGCGGCGGGGCGGGGCCGCGGGTGCCGTGCGCCGTGCGCCGGAGCTTGTGGCGTCAATGCGCCCGCCGTGTCCATGGAGAGAGGCTGAGGCTGCTGAGCTCTGGCCCGAGGCACTGGGCGCCGGGGTGGCGAAGATGTCGGCTTCGTTAGTCCGGGCCACCGTCCGGGCTGTGAGCAAGAGGAAACTGCAGCCCACCCGAGCCGCCCTCACCCTAGTAAGTGCCTGCGGCGCGCGGTCAGGCCCTTGACATTGGCCCGTGTCCGCCCCCGGCGATGGGAGGTCATGGCGACGGGGAGCCGGCCGCGGGGACGGGGCACGTCCGAGCGCGGGTCGCTCCCGCCGCGCCGCCTCTTTCGGGTCCGCAGCCGGAGCGATAAATAAGCCCCGGCGCGGCTGCTGCGGGGACCTCGGCGGGCCGGAACTACGTTTCCCGACGGGCCGTGCGGCGGCCTCGTGCGGGGGAGGGGAGGCCCGGCGGGTGGGTGGCGGCCGCCCGGGGCCGAGCGCCTCGAGCTCCTGCCGCCAGCCGCTGTGGGACGTGTGTTGCTCTTAGGGTGCGCTTGCTCAGGCCCGGGGGTGTCTGGATGGTGACCCAGGAGCGCCACCCCGAAGGTGCGTGGGGGGGGGGGCGAAGCTCCTCGAAGGACGTCGGTGTCGGCGCGGTGAGCGTCGGCGGAAGGGAGCGGGGCCCAAACAAAGCACCCTGGTCCTTGCCCAGGTCCGGCTGCGGCGCACAAAGGGTTACTTCCTCGTGTCCTGGGTGGCGGAGGCTTTCGGAACACCCTTTGTGCCCCAGCAATCCTAGGGTCTTAGGACAAAAGATGAGGATTTCCACCCTGAGCGAGTTTACAGTGTTTTCTGGGTGAAAGGTCAAACGCACTCTGAAGGGCACCAGAAGACAAACCACAGATGTTTGAATTCACCGTGCTTCCTGCAGTTTTATTTAATTCAGGGAATATCTGCATAATATAAAATTGGCCCTCTTAAAGGGTACGATTCATTGGCATTTAGTACATTTACAATGTTGTGCAACCATCACCTCTGTCTGGTTCCAAAAGCTTTTCTCACCTCAATAGGAAAGCTTGTGATCAATTCAACATTCTTCTCACATACACCCTACTCTTAGTTAAGGAGAACCTGGCTTTTGTGCAAGCATTCACCTGGAGACTGGGGAAAAATGATATAAATTGATTCATGGGTTCTAGTCTATCTGCCATTAGAGCCTATAGCCAGAAATTAGTTGTAGCAAAATAGAAGACAGTCATGATTAGGTGGGAGAATTTATTTTTATAATCAATGTTTTAGGCCCTTGAGATTATCCTGATTATATATTGTACTAATCAATACTAGCATTCTGATTATATATCACTACTGTATTTTCTCTGTACTTGTAAGCCTATTTTCATGTATAGAAAAGACACCATGAAATCTAGAATTATCCAAGGTCTTAAGAATTAGAGGGCACAACTCATGCTTTGTGTCTCCTTTCAATCATAGTGAAAGTTATTCAGAATTTGAAAGTCATTTTTCAGTGGTAATGGTAGATCCAGAAAGAGTCAGAAGGTGCGGGAACCGTTTTTCGCCTTTTCTTTCTCCATCATGCTTTGGCTTGTTACCTGTTCCTTCAGAATTTCTGAGTCATCCCCTTCCTCTCGGCAGACGTTCAGCAAACCTGTGTTTCAGGACAAGAAATGAGTTGTATAATTTCCACCCTCCAGGGACACAGATGCAGGCCAAGCCTCAGGCTTGGTCTCTTTCCACACTTGCTCCCATCTACTTCAGTACCTTTTACAGCAGTTCGAAGTTCACAGGGCTCTGTGTTGCCTGGTTCAGCTGTTCTGATTAACTTGCAGGAGTCTGTTTTCTGAACTCATCCTACTTACTGTTATTATGGCTGACTTTACAAGCTCCTACCAGAGAAAAAACACATCAGTGCTACTTTCCACCACAGCCTGTAGTAGTGGGCTTGCAGTCATTTTAGTCATAGCATTTGTACCCTAGTCTCAAGACACTATAGCATGAACATATTGCTGTTTGTGCTTAGTTTCTCCTTGACGTGTACTCTCAAGTGCCAAAACAGTAAGGTAATCAAAGGCCTGATGAGTGGAGACAGATAAGAGCAAACAAAAGTAGAGATAACACAGTAAAACTAATAAGAAGACATAAATATTACTTGGAGATGTAAATTTTATGTATGTCTTATGAGACATGTTGCAACATTTGAAAAGTGCTGTACCTGTAGAGTCTACCAGAGGTCAGCAAGAGGCTAGGAAAAGTAGTAAGTGACGTGAAAACATGATTCAGTGTTGTCAGCACCAAATTATCTGCATTAACTGATGTTAATCCTGGAGACAGTTGGTGATTTGCTGGAGAGAAGGGCTGCCTCGAAACTTTTATGCCCGTGATGGATTCTTGTTGACTGAATGCTTTAAGCTGCAGTCCCCAACCCCCTGGGTAGGCTGTGGCCTATTAGGAACCAGGCTGCATCACTACCTGAGCTTCACCTGCCCTCCACCCCAACCCCTACCAAAAAAGGTTGGGGACTGCTGGCTTTAAGGCTCCAGCCCAGCACATCAATGTGAGTATCCTTGGACACCTCCAGAGAACATCCAAGGATGCCCGCCTGCCCCCACCCCCAATTTCCTTACATATCTAGCAATTGACAAGTGGGTTTGAATTTATGGGAGCCAAAATAAAATATGATTTTAAAACCTGAAGAGTGAACACAACCCTCCTGCCTAGCAGAAACGGTTCTTTTTATCATTATACCAATCAGGTTTAGTGCAGCCCTGATTTAGGATTAAGGATGGCCCGCAGCTGTGCATAAAGCTCAACCATGATTCTGTGAGAGAACAGTGGTACACAGCCACTGTCACTGTCATTCTTGAATTCATTGTGTACAAGGGTGCCTTGGCTTAGCTTTTTTTTTTTTGAGACAGGGACTCACTCTTTTGCCCAAGCTGGAGTACACTGGTACTGTCAGAGCTTAGTGCATCCTCAAACTCCTGAGCTCAAGTGATCCTCCTGTCTCAGCCTCCTCCCAAGTAGCTGGGACTATAGGCATACACCAATTGGCTATTTCTTTACCATCTTTCTTTTCCCCAAAATTTCATATGTGGAGTATTTAGTTTTTTAAAATAGATAAAAATGAAAATTGCCTGGGGAATTACTTAAGGAAATACAGTACCGAGGATGAAAAGTTTCTCCTGCAAGGAATAGAAACTGTATGGCATGGGTAAAATTAAAGTGCGTTGCTAGGTAAGACATGCTCATCCACAGCACCTTTTCCCATAATTTTAACAACAAAATCATCCTGGAAAAACATTTTTAAAAAACTGAGCCAAAATATCTTAACTCAAAGACATTAATATTTTCTCACTTTAATGAATTATGTTTCCATGGTTTACATGAGTAGATTAAAAACCATCATATTTCAGTGGCCTTCAAGAATCCAAAATACAGGCCAAATTTCAGGTGAGCTCTGGTCATTAATTGTAATTAAATTTCTTGGGAAAGTTTGGGTATTTTAGTTGTTACAGGAAGTATATTGATATTGGAAGGTTGTTGCGCCCTGCAGCATGCTGTTTAGTTGAAGATTTTATGCTATTTCCCAGACCAGTTTTACCTAAGGACACAAAGTTGTCAAAGTATATAAATAGAGCAAAGTAGGATTTTTAACTTCTGCCTGGTACTGAGATACAAAAAGTACTTCTTACAGCTAGAATTAAAAAAAAAAAAAACAATTCCAAGTATTCCCTGTTTAGTGATTCTAACTAGTTCGGAAAATCAGATCAGTCACTTTGAAAGTTGTAAGAACCTTCTTTTTCCCCTTGGTTGAGCACCCAGCTGGGTCATCTATCACTAGTAACACTTCCCCAGTGGAATATATTTGGTTTTCTCCTGACACAAAAATTAAGATACTTTTTTGATTCCTGTAACAGCTTCATAGGCACTCAGATTCCTGTTTAATGTTACTTTTCCCTTAAGGAGCCTTTCAGTATAAGATGTGAGGTTTGTGATAAGCAGACATTGTCTATGAATTGCTTTCATTTATTGTGTTTAAGTGTTTTCTACTAATAATTGAGAAAAGAGAAAACACATTATTTTTTTAAACCAAATTAGATAATTTAGAAAAACATTTGGAGATAAAAATTCTTAGGGCTGGTAAACTAGTAGTGTGAGAGCCTCATTTGTTTAGGTCATGCTTGCCATGGTGCACTGGTCTGCGCCTTTGACCTGCCCAAGTTAAACCCAGACTGAGAGTCAGATGTTAGTTCCAACAAATATTTCCCCATGCCTTGCCACCGCCATTTTTTGTTTTTGTTTTTATTTTGGAGACAGGGTCTCCCTCTTGCTCAGGGTGGTCTTGAACTCCTGGCCTCAAGCAGTCATTATGTCTTGGCCTCCCAAAGTGCTAGGATTACAGGCATGAGCCACCAGCCAGCCTGCTTTGCCTTTTTTTAAAAACCTATCCCAAATCTCATTTTGGCTGGGAGCGGTGGCTCACACGGGTAATCCTAGCACTCTGGGAGATGGGAAAGTCGCTCAAGGTCAGAAATTCAAGACCAGCCTGAGCAAGAGCGAGACCCCGTCTCTACTAAAAATAGAAAGAAATTAGTTAGACAACTAAAAACATATATACAGAAAAAATTAGTTGGGCATAGTGGAACATGCCTGTAGTCTCAGCTACTTGGGAGGCTGAGGCAGAAGGATTACTTGAGCCCAGGAGTTTGAGGTTGCTGTGAGCTAGGCTGACACCACAGCACTCTAGCCCAGGCAACAGAGCCAGACTAGGTCTCAAAAAAAAAAAAAAAAAATCTCTTTTTATTTGACAGTAAGTAGATTAATTTCTTCAGCACTCAAATAGAAAAATGTGACCATAGAAACTTACCAGTGGCAGTTTAAAAAGGTAACTTTTACTGGCAGTCATTTAGAAGGCTAAATGAGCACTTTTCCTTAAAAATTAATTTTTTTAATAAATATTTCTGTCACTATTTGAAGTTGATATTTTGTGATTTAAAAAAAAAGAAAGCACCATAATTCTCTTCAGCATTTCCCTCTTCTGCCCCTGCACACTATTCCCAGTGTTGGGCTGCCTGGCTTCCTGGCTTCTCTTCTGATGAAACCATGGGAAGAGGCCATTAGAGACCACTTACTGGTAGTGATTTTTTTTTTTTTTTTCAGATACACACACACACACACACACACACATCATATAATAACTAGAAGTTTAAATAACATTCATTTTAAGTGCAATGCGTTGTTTCTTATTTTTTAAAAATGCTGGTCTCAACTGTCTAAATTGGTTTCATGACCCTTTAAAATTGGTCCCAAACTGTGTGTAAGCATCCTCCCCTGGCAGACCTCCGCCCACACAGGACAGGAGAGTGCGTTCTAGGGCATCTGTTGGCCATCTGTGCTCCCCCAGCACAGGCTTGAGTTCTGGCTGCAGTTTACTACCAAGTCATCACACCCAGGCTTTGGGACTTCACAAACCAATAAAATGTCAGTACCAAAAAACCGGAGGGTTAGCACAGCATTGCCAGCTACAGGAGCTAATATAACAAAGCAGGAAGGCATAATCCATTCTCTCATAACTATAATAATAGCTGGCTTGTATGGAACTCTTTGTGCCTGGCCCTGTCCTGAATGATCTTTGGGAATTTGAATATTTAATCCTCACAAGAATCCTGAGGAGGGACTATTATGCCCATTTCACCAGTAAGGGACTAGATGTTAAGACAACCCACTTAACGTGACTGCCCGTGGGGTATAGGTAGGAAGTGGACCAGGAATGTCCTGGAACAGACTATTCCCAGCCAGCATCCTCCTTCCCAAGAAAGTGACCTATATACATATAAAATGTTGTGGCCTTTCTCATTTTGAGGCCCCTGGCTAGGTTAAACAGCATTCTTTTTGAAAAACAGCTCCTTCCTATTTCTAGGGTTGACTTAGTCCTGTCCATATGGATGTCCTGACATGTTGATTTAATCCACATTGAAAAATCGATGGAAATTTGGTGGGACTGGTACAAGAAGCACACTCTGAGTTATTTTATGCTAGTAACATTCTTTCCTTGAGCTATGCATTTGGTGGATTTGAAATAGATTGTGAGTAGGCAGAAAACAACTATAGCGTTAAAAGCCAACAGGAAAAACAGCAGAAGGTTGGCCTTCCCAATGAGGTACTTGATTCATTCATTGCCTTCTGGATGTCAGGGGCAGTGTGCTTATTGCTGGGCATAGAGTAGGTGCACCAAATAGATGCTGCCCAGAAAAATTATGTTTGTGATATAAGTGAGTAATACCATGGGCAGTATGGCAGGGAACTAACCTGGACCAGGCAGCAAGATTCAAAGGATGTTGCTAACAGATATTTTAAAAATAAAAATAAAAATAAAAAGGTACTTTGGATTGAATAGAGTTCGTTCATGTGTTTGTGTATAAAATCCCCAGGTACTCTGGTGAGAATGGAAGACAATTTGTATTTTCTTTTTTCAGACACCGTCAGCAGTAAACAAGATAAAACAGCTCCTTAAAGATAAGCCTGAGCACGTAAGTAAAACCAGTGAAATATTGAGTAAAACGCTGAAGTTATATTTTCAGGGTGAATTTATCTTATGATAAGCAGTGTGCTTTCATTAGTTAGGGGGGAATTATTTAAAAAGTAAATTCTGCTCATGGTTTTTAAAAATTCAAATGATACAAAAGGGTATTTGATGGAAAGGAAGTCATTCTCTCAAGCCCAGATCCTTTGTTGTCATTCCTCTTCCCCAGAAGCACCCCCTTTGGTGCACTTCCAGAGATAGTCTGCATTGGATGCAGCTAGACCAGGGTTTTCGTCCTCCACACTGTGACGCTTCAGGCTGGATTGTAGGAAGTTTGGTGGCATCTCTGGCCTTACCCACTAGGCGCCAGTAGCAGCCCTGATGTGATAACCAAAAATGTCTTCCTGGGGAGAACTGTTGGCCTAGACTGTGCTTGTTATTCTTGTGTGTATCTCTATTTTCCTGAGTAGATGAGAGCATACCATATGTGCTGTGGTACATTTTGCTCTTTTTCACTAATGAGCTTGAAGATCTTTCCGTGTCATGGTTTAAAGATCTGCTTCCTCCTTTTCTGTGGCTGTATGTATAGTATATTCCATTGAACAGGTTTGATTTCTTTAACCAGTCCACCAGATTAGAGGTCAGTCGGGTGGTTTTCATTCAGCGTTGCCACAGACATCGTTCAGCATCTATTTAGTGGCTATAGTGTGCCAGACCCGTTGTTCCAGACCTATAAGCTTGGCATAGTGTGCCTACATGGGATCCATTCCTCGAAGTAGTATTGCTGATTCAGGGCTGTGTGTATCATTTTAATCGTAGTACATTGTTAATTGCCGGTGGAATTCTGTAAATCACTTCAAATAATGGCCTGTTATTATTTAATAATTAAACTATGGAGTGGTTTCTGGGTTCCATAGTACAGTCTGTGTTAAAGTGTAATGGGAGTTCTCGAACCTGCCTTCTGAGAACTATTAAATGCTAAAGGATATCATTGTTCCAACTCAATTTGAATAGACTAGTGACTGGAGTATAAATTGACAAACGGATGGAAGCATTCCCCACAATCCTTTGCAGGCTCAAGATGGCAGCACTCTGGCGCCATGAGCGAGTCAGATAATAGCAGCAGCAGTAGCCCCAGCAATACAGAGGAGCTGGCTCGGTGACTCAAGGCGGCAATGCCCGCTTGGGGCGTGGAGCAGTGCCCGAGTGGGCCGGAGAAACCAAGAGCCAGTGCTGCATGTAACCAGTTGCCAACCTCCCACCTGAGCCTCAGGCATGAGGTGGATGAGCACGAACCAGATGGCAGTGAGCTTCAGACCTGAATTCCGAACCCACGTGGCCAAGAAACTGGGAGCCCTACTGGACAGCGTCATTTCCATCTTAGAAGTAGTGAAGGAGCCAAAAAAAGCTGAGGTACAGAAAGTCAACATGGAGGATGATGGTGTCCGCCTTTTCTTCACATCCATCCTCGTAAGCACTGAGAAGGAAGCTTCTCCCAAACCCCGCCGAAAGCCACAGCCCTCCATCTCCAACAAGGACAGCAGTGGAGGAATGGCAGTGTTGCCAGGAGGCAGCGCTATTGGCATCTGACATCCTGCAGGAGTTAGCCCTCCACTGCCCTTTCAGGGTGGAGAAGGAAGCAGGAAAGAAAAGGAAGTCAAAAAAGAAAGCCAAGGCCGGGCTCAGTGGCTCACGCCTGTAATCCTAGCACTCTGGGAGGCTAAGGTGGGAAGATGGTTTGAGCTCAGGAGTTCAAGACCAGCCTGAGCAAGAGTGCGATCCCATCTCTACTAAAAATAGAAAGAAATTAATTGGCCAACTAAAAATATATAGAAAAAATTTGCCGGGCATGGTGGCGCATGCCTGTAGTCTGAGCTACTCAGGAGGCTGAGGCAGGAGGATTGCTTGAGCCCAGGAGTTTGAGGTTGCTGTGAGCTAGGCTGACACCATGGCACTCTAACCTGGGCAACAGAGTGAGACTCGGTCTCAAAAGAAAAAGGCGAGAAGGTGTCAACTCCACGATAGCCACCTCCACCAGCACCACCAGCAGGGCCATGGTCCGGAAGCAGGAAAAGGAGCCAGGTGAGCTCATGGGAGACCACGTGTCACTTGGGACCAAAAAGAAGAAAAGGCAAAGAACGCTGGTGAGCCTTCTCTGGGACCCACCAGCAACAAGTGCTGCAGCCGAGCCTGCAAACTGACTGCCATCTGTGGGCATAGGACCTAGCTAGCAGCACGGACAGGGTGCCCACTGGGGGTGAGGCATTTCCAAGCCCCGCCTTTCTCTCCAACTTCAGGGACTTGGTTGGCAAGTCAGGACTCTGCCCATGAGATCCTGATGGTGATGGAGGCTTGCCCAAAAGTTGGGGCAAAGATATGGCTGTAGGGTGAGAAGCCTAAGCAAGGCCTGCCTCTCTGTGCTCCCACAAGGACAGGGCATACCTATTGTACCAGAACATTCCATGGAAACGTTCGTGAAGAAGGAGCCTTCCAGTTATTCAAGACTAGTGGCCAAGTGGTATAGCTCCCATCTCCCCAGAAGTGTCTGAGGAGCCAGTAAAGGGACACTTTTCTCTGCCATCCACCTCATCAGCCTGGTGTGAGAAACTCTCTGTAGAAAATGAGGGACAGGGTCCGCAAGATGCCATGGCCCAGAGAAACTCTTGTTTCTTCCCCTCAACTGACATAGACTTCATAGAATTGCCTGAAAAAGAAGAGACATATCTGCCACCACCACCACCACCCTCCCCCTGGTTTTCCAGAATTTTCTTTCTCCACATTTGTGAATTTACTGGGCACAATGATATCTCTGAGGCACCCAGATTATCAAAAATAAATTGTCAAGGGACCCCCCCCTTCCAAAAGCAATAAATAAAATAAATTGACAAATGAAACAGGAACTTAGCTTTGTAAATCTGGGGGATAATTGCTCATGTTGACATGAAAAGGTATAATTTGTAGCACAAGCAATTCCTTTTCCAAACTCCATTTACCTAAACCTGTAATTTCAAATGCTTTTAAAAGTGTCTGCATCCATTCCTAATATTTGGAATTCTGCTTAAGTCTTCTGTTTACAAACATAAAAACATAAGTTAAATACTGTCATTTTGGCCGGGCGCGGTGGCTCACGCCTGTAATCCTAGCTCTCTGGGAGGCCGAGGCGGGCGGATCCTTTGAGTTCAGGAGTTCGAAACCAACCTGAGCAAGAGCGAGACCCCGTCTCTACTATAAATAGAAACAAATTAATTGGCCAACTAATATATATACAAAAAAATTAGCCGGGCGTGGTGGTGCATGCCTGTAGTCCCAGCTACTCGGGAGGCTGAGGCAGAAGGATCGCTTGAGCCCAGGAGTTTGAGGTTGCTGTGAGCTAGGCTGACGCCACGGCACTCACTCTAGCCTGGGCAACAAAGTGAGACTCTGTCTCAAAAAAAAAAATACTGTCATTTATCATTGTGATAAATGATACATGAAATTCTGAATACATAAATTCTGTCACACATTCTCTAAGCTGTGACTCCTAAAGTGAATGAAACTATAGTTCTATCTCCTTGTTGTTCAGGGACAGAAGAGACTACCCTATGAATGCTATGAATTCTTGGGCTTATCAAAACGCCCAGGCATCTTAACATTCTGACTCACGCCCTTCACCAAATTTCTGCCCACATCATGATTGCTTTCCTGAAGCAAGTACACACTGCTGTTGAGAATCAAAAATATTTGGGAAAAAAATGGATGGTTGTATCTGTACTGAACATGTACGGACTTTTCTTGTTATTCCCTACACAATATGGTATAACAACTGTAATAAATATGGCATTTGTTTACATTGTAATAGGTATTATAAGTAATCCAGAGATGACTTAAAGTATACAGGAAGATGTGTATAGGTTATATATTACACAAATACTAAGGCACTTTTATATAAAGGACTTGAGCATCTGTAGATTTTAATATCCAAGAGGAGTGCTGGAAGTCCCTCATGATACCAAGGGACAACTGTACTTAAATGAAAAACATATAGGCTCCAAGATAGAGAACTTAGGTAGATATTATTAGAAAATTGCATTCATGCAAACACTGGTGTTCTAATAGTACTGTTTGGTCACTTTTTTCACTTTTTAATCTGTATTGACTGTAGTCTTTTGCTTTCTGGTATTTGAGAACGTTTATGCAAGTCCACCCTAGAATTAAGGCCCCCATGTAGAGGTAAAATTGCCAGGTGACAGCCTAAGAACCCTGGTGAACCCTAACCAATAAGGAAACATCTAGAGAACATCTCACAGAATGAGGTGGAGCAAAAACATTTTTAAGAAAGTCCATTTTTAGGGAGCGCCACCTCTGCTATCAGATGCTTTCTTAGTATAATTGTTTGATCAGTATTACTTTAAAACTAAGTTTATATTTTCAAATCTTTTTCAGGTAGGTGTGAAAGTTGGTGTCCGAACCAGAGGCTGTAATGGCCTTTCTTACACTCTAGAATATACAAAAACAAAAGGAGATTCTGATGAAGAAGTTGTTCAAGATGGTGAGTTTTTTTCTTTTCTTTGGTTTGAGGTTTTTTGTTTGGATTGGTTGTTTTCTAGCCACCACGGATAGTTGGAAGGATGGTGAGTTCTTAACAAACTTTCTCAGGGCACTTTGTTTTTCCTAAAGTTTTTAGTCTTGCATGCCATGGAGTAAAGAGCAATAATAATGGTAGGAATGAAGTAAATAGTGTTCACTGTGTGTTAGGCATTGTTTGATGGACTTTCACTTTTTAACTGATTTATACATGTCAACTGAATGAGGGTGATACTGTGTTATCCCTGTTTTTCTGATGAAGAAACTGAGGCACAGGTTAAAAATAGTTTGCTTGGGGTCACACAACAAGTGGCCGAGTAAAATTTGAACCCAGTCAATTCATTCCAGAGGCTGTGCTCTTAGTAACGAAGACATAAATTGTTGGATAAGCTTGTTTGTTTAATCCAACTATGACAAGTTATCATTGTGTTCAGAAAGGTTTTTAAGACCATAAAACTTCAAAGTGAACCAACCATTTTCATGTGAAGTAGCAGTTTTAGATCTATGTCAAATACATACAGGTTCAGCATCCCAAATCTGAAAATGCGAAATATGAAATGCTTGAAAATCTGAAACTACCAACATGAGTGTCTTGAGCACCAACATGACACTCAAAGGAGATCCTCTTTGGACCATTTCACATTTTGTAATTTGGGATGCTCATCCTGTAAGTATAATGAAAATACACTGATGCATTGCCTAATTGTTCTAAGAAACGTGCCCTTAGGCGATTTCATTGTACGAACATCACAGAGTGCTTACCTAAATCTAGATGATACAGCCTTTACACACCGAGGCTACCGCAGTGTAGCCTGTTGCTCCTGGGCTCCAAACCTGTACAGCATGTGGCTATACTGAATACTGTAGGCAGTTGCAACACAATGCAGCTGTATTTGTGTATCTAAACATAGAAAAGGTACAGTAAAAATATGACATAAATAAAAAACGGTACACCTGTATAGGGCACTTACCGTGAATGGCATTTGCCGGACCTGAAGTTGCCCTGGGTAAGCCAGTGAGCAAGTGAGCACTGAGTGACTGTGAGGGCCTAGGACATTCCCGTACACTACTGTGGACTTTATAAACACTGTACACTTAGGCTACACTAAATTAATTTTAAAATGTTGCTTTTTTCAATAATTAACCTTGGCTTACTGTAATTTTTTTGCTTCATAAACTTTTAAATTTTTTTAGCTTTTTGACTCTTTTGTAATAGCACTTAGCTTAAAACACAAATTATTTTATTATTTTTTCGTCTTATTCTCTAAACTTTTTCCTATTTAAAATTTTTTTTTTCTTTTAAACTTGTTTATTACAAACTAAAACACAAACACACATTAGCCTAGGCCTACACAAGGTCAGGATTATCAATATCACAGTCTTCCACCTCCACATCTTGTCCCACCAGAAGGTCTTCGGGGACAGTGACACATATGGAGCTGCCGTCTCCTGTGATGACCATGCCTCCCTGTGGATCCCTCCTGAAGGACCTGCCTGAGACTGCTTTACAGTTACCTTTTATTTTTATAAGTAAGAGGAGCACACTCTAAACCATAAAAAGTATATTACAGCAAATACATAAACCAGTAACATAGTCATTTATTATTGTTGTCAAGTATTATGTACTGTGCATAATTGTATGTGCTAGACATTTCTATGGCAGCATAGTAGGTTTGTTTACACCAGCATTACCATAAACGCCTGAGTAACACATTGTGCTACAGTGTTACCACAGCTACATCACTAGGATGGTAGGAACTTTTCAGCTCCATTATAATCCTGTGAGACCACTGTTACATATGTAGTCCATCATTGATTGAAATGTCATTATGCAACATATGACTATATTCCAAATTCTGAAATCCAAAACACTTCTAGTCCGAGGCTACAATATCAATTCATGCTTTTGAGGAATTTGGTATTTCTAATTTTTATTAAAAATTTCAGTTTTTTAAATTATATTTGTCCTTACCCCCTACTGCCACCCAATAATCTGATAAAACCTGTCTAAAACAACATAGACATTGCTAGAGTGTTGGGAGAACTTGAATGTTCGTGGGTTTTGCTGTGGTGGTTTTGTGCACTGGAAGTACACTCTTTCCTAGCTTGCAGTCCATATTATTTTAAAAATCAATTCATAAACCTTATGATTTTCATCTTAAAGAAAAGGAGACTTAATAACTGGATATAGTTTATATTTAGGTAATGAGTTAATTTCTTATAAGGAAGAAAGATTTCTTAACTGATTGTATTTACAAAGATGCCAACTTTTACCTACATAATTACAAGGGATTATTACCTGTTTTTTGGCTCCTAACTGGAACAGAACTATTATTGTACTGATTGGTCTTATTAAAATTACCCCATTCTATCACAGTCTTTTATATCTCTAGGTTTACCAGTGTAGGTTTGCATGAATTTTATTGACTCCATCTTTACAATAGTGTCACTGAGAATATGGACATTTTCTTCATGTTGCAAATTAGAAAAATGAGTGAAGTATAGTGAAAGGCAAATTTCAGTTTTACACAGAATTATGGAATTTAGTTGTATAAATTGTCTACCCTAATATAATCGTTTTTCACATAGTGTGAGAAAGAGGAGGCAGACAGGAAACTGAATGCTTAATCCCTTAAGGAAATAATGCAGCATATTCAAAAGCTTCCTATTTGACTTTTGTTGGCAGTTACTATTTAAAGTTCACTTGTGCTTTGGATCAGCAGGTTCCAGAAGGATGCAGGCTGTATATGACTCATGTTTTCTTTTCCCCAAGGAGTCAGAGTGTTCATCGAAAAGAAAGCACAACTAACACTTTTAGGAACAGAAATGGACTATGTCGAAGACAAATTATCCAGTGAGTTTGTGTTCAATAACCCAAACATCAAAGGAACTTGTGGCTGTGGGGAAAGCTTTAATATCTGAAACCTCAGGACTCTCTGGCTATGAGCTCCAGGAGCACTCACAGACTCCGCCTTGGGGCTTACTGAAGAAATCATGTGACTATCGCCTGTTTAATGTGTGGCTGCCTTGTAAGAAAATAAAGTGATGCATTTTGAAAACGAAGCCAATATGTTAGATTCAGGAAGAAGTGATATTTGAATTCTCTGTAGGGGACAGAAAATGAAGTACCATCACCCTCTTTGTGGATATTTTTCTTTTCTTGTAAAGAGAAAAATCCTACCCTTCACTTAAGTCTCTTGGACCCTTTCTTTTAGAACCAGTTTCATTAAAAAGGATTGGATCTCTATTGAGTGGCTTGAACGTGCATCTCACCCTGTATTTTTCCCAGATCGGTGACTCCTAAAATTCAAAGGCAGGAAGTCCTGACTGCTGGTAGTAATATGGTGGTGCATTATTTTTCCAAGCAAACTTGGCATAGCCCTTTCACATTTTCATCAGAATTTTCATTGTCATGCCTCATTTGCATACCCTTTAACAGAACTGAGCAAAGATTTTCTTCAGCTATAGTGATCTATAGCAAAAGGTTCATCCATCTGTTTTTAAATCCATTTCATTTGCCACCTTAAATGTCTACTCAAAGATGGGATCTCAAGCTGATTTCGATTCTTTTAGTTGAAAGGTCTCTTAGAAGCCATCTAGCCCACCCCACTCAATTCTGTATGTGAGGAGGCCAAACTCCAGGGAGGCCAAAGGGCTTTTGTCTACCCCCACGGGTGAGCAGGAACTGCACCTCCATTGCCCCTTCCTAGTAGGTGACAGTGTTCTCCCCTCTGAGGCAATCCATGGAGCTTAATGGTGATCTGGCATCTTTGGTCAACATACTGATAGAATTTCTTTTTAATTTGGTGGAAATCATATTAGCTTTATTTTGAGTAAGAAGAATCTTATTTAAAACTCTTATGTGAATTGCCATCTTGTTTCTTGAAACTTTGAAACAGTGGTTTATACTACCAGAGAAGACATTGTAGCAACCCAGAATTACTGGGAATGTAGTCATAATTGTGAAGGAGAACATGGGAGTCTTAAAATTCCCAATATGCACACACTTTCTGGTTCCTAAGTCTAATTGCTGAAGTTTGTTTTCTTTGTTTTTTAATACGAAGTGGGGGAGGTGCTTTTTTTTTTTTTGGCAGTCTCACTCTGTTACCCTGGGTAGAATGTAGTGGCATCATCGTAGCTTTCTCCAACCTCAAACTCCTAGGCTGAAGGCATCCTCCTGCCTCAGCCTCCCGAGTAGCTGGGACTATAGGAACACATCATGACACCCAGCTAATTTTTTCTATTTTTACTAGAGACCAGGTCTCGCTCTTGCTCAGCCTGGTCTTGAGCTCCTGAGTTCAAGCTATCCTGTCTCGTCCTCCCAGGGTCCTAGGATTACAGGTGGGAGCCACTGCACTTGGCCCAATTGCTGAAGTTTTAGAACAATATTTTAACCTAACATTTTTATTACCAACTCTTAAAGTGTTCCTTTTGTCACTTAGTTACTCATTTTCCTGGGTTTGACATATTAAGTATTCTATGAGATGACATATATGCTTTTTTTAAAAGCTGATTCTCATGAATTTGAGTAGCTGAGTTCTTTTATGTTTGTTTTATTTACTAAAGTACCTGGCACAAAAAGCACCGAAACCTAGAGCAGTAGTTTGTGTAAATGCTCATGAGTTTGTATCATTAATAAAGTTGTTGATCCACTTATAATTTGTGCAATACTGTATTTATGTAGAGAGTGAGTTATCAATAAAAAGATGTGGCCTCTTTGTGATTATAAAATTGCCTTTTCTTGAGGGAGGGGTTTGGGGTGGTAGCTGCTAAAGCTGCTGATGAATAATTGCTGTACTTTCTTGCCCAGCCTTCCTGCTGCCAGCGTTTTCCCCACCTGACTCTGCTTCACCCAGAGTCTTCGCTGCAGCTTCCCAGGCAGCCCTGGAGAGACGACGGCCGATGGCTCGTCTCCCTGGTCTCGCTAGCCTTGCTCTCCCTGCCCCGTTGTGAGGGAAGCACCCACCCAAGCTGCTTCCTCATGCCTCCCTCACAAGGAGAGAACATTATTCCCACCCAAAATGGTTTTCCCTTTGTCACAAGCTTTATCGTCACCTCTTCCAAGAAGGTTCCCATCAGTTCACTTCAGGCAGAGTAATGAGCACCTGCTCTCCACTGGCCGCCGGGCTTCACAGAATCGGAGACAGGAGGCCCTGACCTCGGAGATCTCGGAGTTGACAAGGAGACACCAGTGACAGCGTGGTGGGTGTCTGTGCTTACTCCATGCTGGGAACTGTTGTAAGTAACATCGTCTTCACAACAGTCCAGGAAAGTGGGTCTGACAGCTTTTGCTTAGGTGAGAAACCCAAGCACAGCTTGAACAAAACATTTTGCCTAAGGCAGCACCAGGTGGCCGTGTGGAGCCGCACCAGGTGGCCTGGCTCCAGAGGCCGTGCGCCCAGCGGTCACGCTGCTCTCCCTGCCGTCCAGTTGAGGGCCGATGGGGTGTGCTTCTAAAAAGGCGTCCTAGACGCTGCGACCCCTGAGCCCCGTCTTGAAAGACGGGATTTGGGGAAGAGAATGAACAATGGAGGGTTGAAAAAATGTCAAGGGAGGCTGAGCACTCAGAAGACCGAGGCCCAGAGGAGGCATAGGCAAGGATGGAGGACGAGGGACAGCCGGGACATCTGGGCTTCCTGAGGTTCTGTAGGCATTGGGGCCACTGGAAGCACTGACAAGGGAGTCCCTAGAAAACAGTCACATTCGGAAGGGCCATCATGGCACTGGGGTGTGGACTGGGGGGTATGATGAGGGTGGGAGGAAGCTGCCGCAAAGCCTCAAACAGGACCCGAGGACGCCTTGCGTGGGGACGGTTGAGGAGCCAGCATGGGCGGGACACCGGTGACAGTCTGACTGTCACTTAGTGGCTCTCGGGTGATGTTTCTATGGGCAACACTTGTATTATTCTTCGGTTGGGGTCTGGTTTCTGTCCCTTGCACACTATTGAAAGGTTCTTGAAGACAGGAACACAATCGCTTCTTTAACGTTCATTCGGCACCAGGCGCATCAGAGCTGTGTTGGTCACAAGGGCTCCATCCTCCAGCACCGGGAGAGCCATGCCCTGCGAGCCTTCGCCCTGACCAGGACGGTTCTGTCTGTTCTGCCTCACACTGATCCGCGCCCCACTAACCCCGCGTGTCGTTGCATGACGTTGTGTGGCAGTGGCCCCCGGGTGGCACGTAGGCCCACAGATGCTGTGGCCGGAGCCTCCCGAGTGGCCGGTCTCTCACTGCATGTGGTCACAGTTGGAAGCCCACTCTTCCACATCAGGATGCTGCAGTGAAGGGCTCAGGCCACGTGTGGCTAAAATACCCCTTAAAGATTCCGGAAGACAGAGGCCCGCTGTGCTTCACTGTTACAGAGCATGTCGCCGCCCTCTGTCACCAGGCCCACAAGAATGACCTTTTTCTCAAACAGGAAGGGGGGTAGGGGATTGGGAAAAAACCTACAAGACCAGATGTCCGTGATATTTCCAATGCTTCCTAGGTTTCGTTCAGCAGGAAATACCTCAAAAAATAGCCTTTCTTGTCATGCTCTGCTACCTGAGAGGTCAGGAAGCAGAAAAGCCTGTGATCTTACGCTGGCTGTGAGCACCAGCAGGGTCTCATCTGAGCCTCAGAGGCGATGTGACCTGGGCCAGAGACAGCATCGGCCCAGAGTAAACCCCAGGACAGCTCACCTGAGGTCAGTGCGGTCTGGGAGGCTGGAAAGCTGTAGGTTTGGGGGTGAGATATACCTGGGCTCAAATGATGGTTTCTGTCGTTTTGTAGCCGTGTGACCTGGCACAGGTGAGGTCATTTCTCTGAACCTGTTTCACATTCTGTAGAACAGTCTCAGAATTTGGGGTGATGTGGTGAGTTAAGCACACATCAACAGCACCCGCCAAGAGTAGCCACTCAATAATGCTGCAGTGCTTGTCCCTTTTACCTGGCTGCCTGTGCCGAAAGGGATGATGAACTAGCAGATTATCAGTCAAAGCCAGAGCTTAGGAAAAGGTGAGTTTCAACACACGTAGGGAGTTTCTGTCCCATATTCAAACCTGGGGGAGATGTGTTGTATTTCCTTCAAATAAATGACTACAGTGACTTGGTTGAAAAGAACCGTAAATTATTTGTAAATATCCTGAAAAGTTTTATTCTCCTAGTGGCTGGTTGCTGCAGAGAAACCTGCCTTAACGGAGGAGCTCTTTTGCAAGGGCCTCTCCCCAGCAGAAGCTGAGTCTCTGCGCCTGGCTGGGCCTCGCCACACTGGAGTGGAGGGAGCCCCCCTGCCCTCAACCCGCGTCGGGAGGCTGACCATGAGGCGTTTAAGTCGCCTTGGACAGGCTTCCTCCCTCGCTCGCCTACAAAGTCCTCGGTGAAGACTTCGGATCTGATCAATGCAGCCTTCAGCTGGGCAAGGGCTCTGGACCAGAGGTGCTCCCTCGGCAGCAAACCAGCCTCGCCAGGTCCCTGCTCTTGCGGAGTTGCTGCTCTTACTTCCACTGACTTTTCTTTGTAAACTACCTGCTCATGGCTGTCCGTGGACTCCACGTCGTGAATCAGTCCTTCTAAAACCTGAAGGTACAAATACGTCACCCAGGGAGCTTGTTGAAAAGCAGATTCTGGTAACAAAGTTCCAGGTGGGGCTGAGGATTCCACATTTCTAGCAAAGGCAGGAGAGAAGCCGACACTGTGGCCCTGCAGGCCACCTTTGGACAGCAAGGGCTTGAAAAGTCTTCTCTCCCAAGAACCTGCTTGTACTAAGTGGTGATTGGTACCTGCAGTTGTTCCTAGTAAGCACCCACCACGGCACTCAGGGTTCTGATCGGCATGGCATAGACACCAGTCTGCCTGGCAGCAAGTGCTGTGTGTGATCCCTTCGGGTATTTGAAATACTGGAAATATCTCAGTGATCCCACCCCAGCCTCGTTCCACGCTGTGGCTTCCTTGGGAGCTGGAGTTGCCAAGTCGGCCACCTGTGCTTTAGCCAGCAGAACCAGGCAACCGGGGGGTCCACAAGTTATGCTTATCCTAATACTTCTGGGGGTTTTTTGTTTGTTTTGGGGGCTTAAACGTTTATTAAACCAAACTTTTAAACTATATATCCACCTATAGTCTGTAAACAAATACAGTACACACGTAAGTAAAAGGCTAGCAGATAGGAAGTCATGGAAAAACTAAAGTTCCCTTTGTACACCGGCACCTCATCACAACGCCCTCCTCAGGCTGACACCATGGGGCCATGTTGTAGCTAAGAGTTAGATGA